TAATTTCCTCATCTATAAAATGGGAACAATAACTCTACCTTCCTCACAACGTTGCTTGTGCGGGCAGGGGGATGGGGGGGGGTCAAATGAGACAAAGACTGTGAAATAATGATCACAGTGCCAGGCTCAGAGGAAGTGCTCAAAAAATGGATGTTATGAATAATGATTCATCACTAACATTCCTGATACCTTCATAACTGCGCCACCCAATACTGTGGCCACTGGACCCGGGTGGCTATTTATAATGAATGAAAATCCATACAATTTAAAAGTCAAGACTTTGGTCACACTCCCCACATTTCAGGTGCCGGGTGAGCGCAGGGGAGCAGTGGCTCCTGGTTGGTACATGACACCATGGAGCCTTTACGCCCTCAGAGAGCTCTGGGGGACAGCAGGGTTTCAGGGGCCACATTTACGTGGGTTTCTAATGCCACACGGAGGCTTTACATAAACCACACGGGACCTACGCCAGGGAATTTGCTGACACCTCTGCTTCTGGGGTGTTTTGATTGGGCTCTGGGTCTCTTTGGTTCCAGAAGAGAGGAAGGGCTACAGGTCAGGGGGTCGGGAGAACTTGACAGTGGACGCTCGGTAGGACCCAGGGTTTCCTTGGAGATTTGAGGATGGAGCATCTGTCCCTGGACGGTCTGCGTTCCCAGTCTCAGGGGCAGTGACCTGGAAAGTGTTTGAAGCTGGGTGCCGGGTGCTGGTCTCAGCGGGGAGTGGCCAGGGGCAGGGGTCTACCTGGCACATGTCCGTCAGCCATCTCTCCTCCCCCTTGTCTATGAAGCCGTGGATGATGAAGCGTGTCTTGCGGTCCAGATGGAAGTTTGAAGCCCTCACGGTGTCCAGGTCCGTGGCGTTCACAGTAGCCAGGTCCATGGAGGAGATCCTCTGGTTAAAGTGGAAAAGGTGAATTAGGATGTTGGCCTTTCCAAGCCAATGGCCTGTGAGAGCCAGTTCCAGGGAGACTGGGTCACGGGATCAGCTCCCACGAAGTTGGGTGGGGCTAGAACAGGAGTTCCTGTCCTGGGCTTTGAGGACAGGATTCAGAAGATCCACAATCATGGACTTCTAGCATTTCTGTTAATTATGAAATTGGGCAAGAATCCAGGGTCATCGTAACAGCACTCTGTCCCCAATGGGAGTCATAGGTATTTTCATGTCACAGGACAGTGGTCGGGGATGTCTTAAAAATCAGTTATTCTCATTACTATTTGTAGTGGCCGTGGTTAGATCAACCTGTGGATCTTGTTATTTAGTGAGATAATAATAAAGCAGCATATATATGACTGGGACATATATTTATCATTTCAAATGTTCTCATAACTGTTTTTCAATATAATTGGCTTCCTTTGAAATCCAATGTGTTTTATTTCACATTTAAATACATCATCCTGAGAAGGGACCCCTCAGCTTCCCCAGATGGTGGAAGATGTTTCTAGAACAGAAACAGTGAAGGACCCCAGGCCAAAAGCACCAAAATGAGGGGAGATGTGGCTCAGTGGAGCCCTGAGGGGCCCCTCTAGCTTGTCGCACTTAAGAACTGAGGCCTACATGCCAGGGGCCCATTCACCAGCCCCCTGGGCATCACGCCTGAGGAAGGATTAGAAATAAAAACAGCCCAACCACCAAGTCCAAGTGGACTCCCAGCTGGGGGCTCTAAGCGGGATTTGGTCACCTAGAATCCCACTGCAGCTGGCCTCAGGGATGGATGGAGAGTCACCTGCTCTCCAAACTGTCAGGGGTGGAGTTGTGAGCAGCTGAGCTCTAAGCAGATTCTTCCTGGTCACTTTGAAGCACCTGGAAGAGCCTTTCCTGCCTCCACCCAACAGCCTTTCTGGGGACTGGAGGTCACTCCAAGGGCCCTTTTGCTTTTGTGGTTAGATGGCCCCTCT